TATATCTCTTTCTCTCCGTTTCTCCCCAGTCGCCTTTTATGTGGCCGTCATTTCCATGCCAGCCCTGGGGGACCCTGTCGGAGCCCCGCCTCGCTGTTACCTGACCACGGTCAACGCCCTGAAGGTGGCCGACTGCCAAGGGCAAGGACACAGGGCCGTGCCTGAGACCGATCCCTCCGTTCAGGTCCTGCTCCTGAACTTCAACTCCTTCTCCGTCCTCTTGAATTCCTCCTTCCCACGCCTGGAGTCCTTGGCCTTCCTGTCTCTCGGGAAGCAACGGACCGGGTCCCTTCTTCTCGGAGAGAGGGCCTTCCAAAACGTGCCTAACATCACCTTCCTGGACCTCGGGGGCAACGGGAACCTGACCCTCCATCCCGGCGCCTTCCGCGGCCTCTCCAAACTCGAGGTGCTTCTTCTGGACGTCAACGGGTTCGGGGACGAAGTGCTGGAAAACGGCTATTTCCGGGACCTGGTGTCTCTCAAGAGGCTCGATCTTTCTGGAAATCGGATCCGTAGGCTGAGGCCGGATCCGTCCTTCCGAGGGCTCGGGGCGCTCAGTATCCTCCAGCTGAGGCTCAACCGGATCCAGGCGATCTGTGGAGATGACCTCGGACCCCTCGGGGGACGCCGCTTGGCGCTCCTCGACCTGTCCTCCAACCCTCTGCGCGACCAGCCGGCCTGCGGCCACCCTTTCCGGAACCTCACGCTGGGGACCCTGGATGTCTCCGGCAACCCCTGGAACGTCGGCGAGGCCGAGCGGTTCTTCGCGAAACTGAACGGCACCCGCATCCGGCACCTCAAGGTCCGACACTCCGGAGCCGTCGGGAGCGGGTTCGGTTTCCGCAACCTCAAGGACCTCTCGGCCAGCACTTTCTCCGGGCTGCGTCACGCCGGCGTGGTCTCCCTCGATCTGTCCCACGGCTTCCTGAACGAGCTGGTCCCTTCGGCCTTCTCGGGGCTCCCTGACCTCAACCTTCTGCTCCTGAGAGCCCATGAGATTAGCAGGATCCGACCCGGGGCCTTTGTCGGGTTGAACAAGCTGCGTGTCCTCGATCTCTCCCACAACCTCCTCGGGGAGATCTACCGGGAGGCCCTGGAGAGCCTCAAATCCTCTTCCCTGCAACGCCTCATCCTCCGGTCCAACCACATTGGAATCGTCCAGCGCGGGGCCCTCGCCGGGCTGGGCTCCTTGCAGACGCTGGACCTCCGAGACAACG